CCTCCCCCCGGCCCCGCAGCGCTGGGGGCACGTTGCTAGCTGTAATTTATCAGCCTCATCAGCGGGGCCGTTCTCCCTGATAGGAGCCCTGATGCTTTTCTGCCAAGATTAATGATGTCCCAGCGGAAGTAGGCGGGAGGCCGCCGGCTGCTTTGGTCACCATTAACCGACAGCCGGGGACTTCGGCCGGGACCGTGTGCTCCCCGCAGCCCTTCACTGCCTCCCATCCCAGCTGCAGCCTTTTCCTCCCCGCCGGGGCCCGGTCCGACCCGATTTTCCAGCTGGGCGGATCGGAGGCGCATGAAGTCGGCTCATGAGTCAATGCTGCGGCCCCGATGCGAAGCTGGAGCTGGAGAGGGACGGAGCCGTGGGGAGGGCAGCCGGCCGGGCTCATGCCCAGTCCCTGGTCCCCAAAGGACTCGCCGCTTCCCAGAGGCAACATTTCTGGGAGGCAGCAGTCCATTTCCAGTTGTAAAATGCCTTTCCAGAGCAGGAGGAGGTTTGGGGACGCTGGGGAGCATCTCTCCATGCTCACCGGAGCTGGTAGGCATCCGGCACCGGGGCACGGCAGGGTGGAAGCAGAGGGAGATACAGCACTGCCTGGCAGGTGTAATTAAGCCTCCAGATCTTCTGCTAATTAAAGTTCCCCCACAAGGAAAAGGAAGGAGGTGGAAAACGAACAGTCCCCATCCTCCCGTGGGCTGCAGATGGGTGAAAAGGACCCCAGTGCTGCTGTGCCACCCCATCATGGCTGGGGTTTGCCGGACGCCCAAATTCCCCTGGCCGAGGGAGTTTCCCACAGCTCACTGCAGCAGTCAGCAGAGCCCGACCGCCGGATTGAGAGCTCGCAGCCGGTGCCAGCGCCTCGGGATGCGACGGGTGGCTTTGACATTTTGCAGACCACAAACTATTATCTTGCATCTCGCCAAAATACAAACACGGCTTGTAACCCTCCTGGCTTGGGAGGGAAGCGGGGCGAGTGGGGAGGAAGGGCTTTGCACCACCTGACGGTGCCCATATGGCCTCGGGGACACCCCAAGGGTCTCCATCTTCGGCCCCAAGTGGGGACAGAGCTGGTGCTCAGCGATAATTCAGTTGCAAAGCTGCGGCACAGCCAAAAACTGGAGTGAATCAGACCCCAGTGGAGAAACTGAGGCTCCAAGAGGGTTATTTGCCCGAGGTTGCACAGCAATAGAGCCGGCTGGTGCAGGGATTGATCAGAAACACTCGCGGAGAAGGATCAGGGCATTTTTTTTTTTTCCTGATGAAACAAGTCTTTTTGCTCAAGAGCCGCCCTGGAGAAACACCTCTGCTGTAAACAACCGATTTCACCATTGCCACCAGCGCCGGGCTCGCTGCAGGGAGCCCTCCTCCAGCTCCGCCGCTGCTGGCCCGCAAGCCCTTGAGCATGGCACCCGACCCGCTGCCCGTCGGTGCCGTCCCAGCCAGGACGTCCCCACGGCAGGGTGGGCACCGGAGCCACCGGCCACCGCTGAGCCATCCTTGCTCCCTTTGAGCCGCTGGCGTTGCAAAGCCGGGTGCGGGGGGCAGAAGTAGCACAGATTTATTTTCCGCACTCGCCATTGCCCCTCGCTTTTTTGATTTCCCACGGATTTGCAGAAGGAATGGCTCTTTCCGAGGAGCAGGGACGCGGCGGCACGGGCAGGTCCTGGTTTAGTGCCCTCTTCTGGAGGCTCCGGCCTCTCAGCTCTGCCGCCGAGCTCCTGCCATCCCGCCTGGCACACACCACCTTCCCTGGTTCGGCTCCGCTTGGCCCAGGACCTTTCCCGGTTCAGCCTCCGACGCCCAGCCCATGCCTGTGCTTGGGCGGAGGGCGAAGGAGGGAGCTTCTCCCGGAGCCGAGCGGCGAGAGAAACGCTCTCGTGGGGCTCCTTGTTCTCCCCAGTGGGCCCTACCAGGGGACAAGCTGCCAGAGGGATGGACGTGCAGCGCTGGTGATGCGCGGCACATGGATGTGGTGCTGGACGCTGGATGCGTCCGGGGGATGGGACGGGCCAGCGTTGCTCCCTGCACCTGCCGGGTACTCCGGTCGGGACACCTCTCCCTCTCCGGGGTTAGCACCTGGTGACGACGGGTGCCACCATCTTTGGTGAGATGGAGGTGTCAGTGCCACCAGATGTAGGACAAAATTAAAGCAACAAGAAGGGGCTGGTTTAAGGCCAAGCAAGATGGAAAACCCTGAGCAAGGCTGCAAGCTGTGCCGGCAGCGTCGCCGGGCGAACCCGCATCTCCTGTACCACAGGAGAGGACCAAGCCAGAGCCATGGAGGAGCTGGCTGAGTTTCTTGCCCGTGGTCCACTGGGGTCAAGGTCAGGCCCTCCTTGTTTCCACGTGCCGCCGAAGGCTTTTGCTCCTCTCCCCTGCACGCTGCCTTCGCACCACGGGGCCAGACCCCAGCACTCAGCCACACAGGGCTGGATGTGCCGGCGGTTTGATCGGTGTTCATCCCCCACTGCGGTCCCTGGGGATGGATTTATTTAAAACCCTTGAGACACTGAAATCTGGTCCTCTCTTGGCTGCTTTTAGGGCTCATGCCCAGCTCGCCGGCTGCCCTGGGAATTAAAGAGATGGGCTGCTGGCAGGTGGTGGTTCAATCCAGCAGCACCCGCTGGACAGGCCAAGCCTGTGATGCAGCAGTGAAATGGTTAAAAATAACCTTCAACCAACTACTTAAATAACAGCCTCCGCCGAGACAGCCGCAGCTGTCTGACAAACGGCGATGCTCAGGCATCGGATGTTGTGAAGAAAATATCTGCTGCTGTTTTAACGGGTCTTTCCCAGGGAGGTCGGGAAGGGCTGAGAAACTTGAGGATGGGACGGAGAGAGCGCAGGGCGGGGAGCGCCCGGCCACCCTGCGCCTCGGGAGACCGGGGGGGATCTTCTGCAGGACACGCGGGTCTGGTGGCTGAACCCCTTTGGGTATGAAATTTGGGGGCTGGAGCCGCACATCCTGCTAATAAGAGGATTTATCTGGAAAAAGCTCTTCGGTGGGTGTCCCAGCCTCCCTTCCCAGCCCCGGGGATGCTGTGATGGGGACGCGGGTGCGTGGCCCTGGGCAACAAGAGTGGAGCCCCCTCCTCTGACCGCGCCGGGGACGAGGGGCCGGGGAAGCGCCCCACTCCGCTGGCAGGGGGGTGGCTTCAATGCACGTCATTAAGAAGCAGAGCTAATGAGCCAGAAAGCAAACCGAAGGGCAGAAATAACCCGCAGAGAGACTCGCAGCAGCAGCCCGCTCTGGCCGAGGGACAAGCATCACGGCCCCGTGCCGGGCGGGTTTCGGGGGTCTCTCCCAGCACAGGGGTCCGGGGACAGCGAGTTCTCACGGAGCTGCCCCGCTGCTGCCTGCCTTTCCCCGGGACGTGCAGCATTGGTTGACACTGCACAGGGGTGAGTCAGGCCGGCACAGACGAGACGCACCGACCTGACCTGCCTATCGAGCTGTGCTTATGTGGTCCCGGCTGGGAAAGTTTTGAAATTTCCCTTGCTGAGGCCACGTGAGCTGCAGTGCCCCGTCCTCCAGCCCGGGCTGCGCCGACACCATCCGGGGAAGGAACCCACGCTTTGCCTTTTGCAGGATGGCTCCTTGCCCTTGCCGGGGGTCCCGCGGGGGACCCCTTGCCCCAGGGTGCACCCATCCGGGATGAAGCAGCAGGGATGGTCCCATCGTGTCCTGGGGGTCTCGGCTGCTCGCCTCCATCCTTGCCGTGCAGCGTTTTGGGAGGAGGCAGCCCTGTCCCCACTCCGCGCAGGGCGGAGGGGAGCTGGGAGTTGGCAGGCGTTGTGTCAGCCCCGTTTGAGCAATCCCTTGCTAAACCATCTCCAAGTCTGATCCTTATCTGCGTGCTCCAAGGTGGCGGTGATGCAACTCCCACAGCTCAGGAGGAGGGGGGGGGTGGCGGGCGGGTAGGACACGGGATGTGCCAGCGAGGACCCAGCCTGATTTCACAGCCGACGAGACCTCTCCCTGCTTCTGATCCCGCTAGCCAGGCAGTTACCAGCCGTATTGCCAAGGGTTTCTGCTGCCTTGCAAGGACTTCCCACCCCAGCCATGTCCTGCGTAAGGATCTGAAGTCCCTTTGCACCAAACGAGCATCCCCAGCCCAGCACTTCTGGCATGCCCGAACACGTGGCGTTAGTGCTGCAAATGCATCCATAACCCCCGGGAAAGCCCCTCGGGGCACGGCGCGGCGCGGGGCCGGGAGCGAGGGTCTGGCTGCTCCTTACCCAGCGAGACCCGCTCCTCGGGGCTCAGGGCGATGGCCTCGTGAGCCGGCTGCTCGTACAGGCGGAGCTGGTAGCGGTGGTACCCGCTGCGGGGCGGGGGCATGGGCCGGACGTAATCTGGGGATGCAAAAGATAACGGCTGAGCATCCCGCCGAGCGGGACCCGCTTCCCACCCTAACCATGCGCCCACCCCCCCGCTTCCAGGCTGGGAGATTGGCTTTCCCACCCAGCGCCGTGCACTGAGGCCCCTCGCCACGCGTGGGGCTGGAGGGAGAAAGCGCTCAGCAGCTCAGGTGTTTCACGGGCAAGAGCAGCTGCTGTGCCCACCCCAAAACCTCCCCCTCCCTTATCGCCGCACGGATCCCCCCCCATCTGCCCGGGGGCCAGCTCCTGTTTTCCCTCTCCTGAAATAACCTGCCCCCAACCTCCCGCTGCACCAGCC